CCTGGGCCTCTAGTAATAAATAAATTGTAATGGAAACATTGACACGACAGGGTATGAGTTTATCAAGGCTTTTATGGAAATATATTTCTCTAAAGGCAGTCTTAGGTTATCCCTGTCCATTGCTTGTGCAAAATCACTTTGTGAATGCAACTGGAAAGGCCCAAAGAGAAGTGATCAGTGTCCAATCACAGTGTGTGATCTACATTTTTTAAAAAATTATTCAAATACCTCTTACAGTCAAAAAGGGTAAAAGAGCAGAGAGAGGGAAAAATCTCCCAAGCCTTAATTTCAATTCTGTAGCACAAAATTATGGGGTAATTTTAAGCTGTGCTTAATATCACTGCTTATTATTATGAGCTTAACAGCATGAAAGGGAATGTGTGGAGCTGGAGGAATGGAGAGACTTGTCCTATTCCTTTTCTGAAGTTATGTGCTTTACTTGAGAATATCCCTTTCATTTTTCAGAAGTTACCAAAACTCAGAATTACAGAAAACCCTTGGAAGTATGTCTTCAGTACAAAGAAGTAAAATAAATGCATCCCCATGTTTAAAACCTGATTTTTACTAGAGGAAATTAGATGGAGTAGCTGACAGATGTTTACAGGGCTCAGGTTAACAGTGCAGGATCTACACTCAGCTCTCTCCATCTGCAAAATTAGCTTTCTGAAAGCAGACTACACAAAGGAGAAGGGGGAGAAGGTGATAATTGAAGGAAACCTTACTCTTATATTCAAGAAAAGAATCACTGAATCATTTAGAAGGGGAAAGATGTATAAAATCACCAGGTCAAACCATCACATAGAAACAATGGTATCTTCTGTTCTGTCTTTTCTGACAGGACACCCTATCCTAAAGTTGGCACCAAATCATTTGGTGAACCACGGTGACAAAAGCAGTGTAGCTCATGAAAAAAAAAAAAAAATTAAAAAATTAGGCATAACCAGCCAGAGAACCAGTTTCCTGCTGTATATGGACTTACACACAAGCAAACATAACTCAGACACCAACTCCTCAACGTGTGTTTTAACTTGCAATCACCTTACTGAAAAACATAGAATAACGTCTGTGGAAATAGGGAGGAAAGATGGAAGTGCTTATATCAAATCATTATCTCTTGCCTCATAGAAGAGTCCAAACACTGAATTAATTTCTCTTCCTACATACCTTCTCTGGCTTTTCAGCTGATTCAGGGAACAGAACTGGCTCACTCAGGGTAGAAGGGGTTGGGCTGCACAGCTGGAAACAGGGGATGTGAGACAGGTCCATCTTCCAGTGGCTCTGTTCATCTAACCTGATGGAAACATCACTTCTTCTCTCACTGTGCAGGAACTATTTTCCTAAACCCCTTGGGCTGTAATTCTGCACCTACACCTTTCCTATGTAACCTTGAACAGCCCCAATTTAAGCCATTAAATGGACATTTGGGGTAAGGAAATCTGGCCAGTTTGAACTCCTCTCACCTTGCAACACTGCTAGAAAAGACATTTTTAAATCAGACTGAGAACAAACACTTAAAAAGTGATGGCATTTTGAACTAACTCACAGGTTTACTGTATTGAGGCTGCAACTCATTTTTGCCCAGAAAACAAATAATACTGTTTTTTCCATTTACTGCAGGAGATAGTGCAAGTCTCACAGATTTGAGATAAGGGCCATGTTGTCTTTATTAATTTTCCAGGCTTCCTTCCCAAAACTCTTATGGTTTGCAGAAAGAACTTTGACCCCAATCACCTCTGACTCCATTCTGAGTCTCACAGTCCTACCACTCCCTCTGTAATAATCTGGAACACCATGACCACCTTCCTTTATCCATTTAATCGAGAGAGAATAATCCCAGCCTACTTTGTGCACTCCCAGGTTTTGCTTTGGTGTTTTGAATTAACTGGTTTTCAAATCCAAGTCATTAAAAATCAACTTTTCAGCTGATTAAATTTTACAACGCTAAAAACTAATGAACCAAAAAACAACCAAACCCCACAAACACTGAATTCACTGTTGGCACAATAACTATCACCATGACATATCTGTGGTACAAGTTATACACAAAAAGGAACCAACACAGTTATTTAGAGTAAGCAAAGTTAAATAATGCAAGAACTTCCATGGATGCTCCAAATGAACCTAAAATATATTTTTTGTCTGCAAGTTGTTTTGAAGCACCAGGTCTAACAAAGCTCACTTTCTTCCTGGTTTATGTTTTATGATGGATTGGCTTCAATGCAGGGAAATTTCTGACCCATCCCTGCTTCCCTGAGCTCTTTCCCCACAACATTTAAATATTTTTTTGTGTATGTGTGGACTTGTCAGTGCCTGAGAGAAGAATTTCATCAATTTAAACCAACACCAGGAGTGGAAAATGCAGTCCTAGCTTCCTCTTGTACTGGTCCAAACATCCATGGCAAAACACAATGAAAATGGTTTAAAATTCGTTTTTTTTTCCTCATTGTTTGGTGGGTTATAGTGTTTTTGAAGAGAAGGAAAAGTGACCCCAACTCTGACTTGGACATATAAAATAAGTAAACCTAGAGTTAATCAGATTTAAACAAAACCTGATTTAAATAGATGGCAATCACTATGAAATACATCAATTTTCTTTTTTCCTTGCAGAAGTATTTAGAGCACGTGAAAATAGCAGGCATGTGAGATTAGAGATAAAACTGAAAGTCACACACATTAGGCTGAAGGCCATTTTCCAGTCTTAAGAAAAAGATATTTAATCATTAAAATAAACTTGCCAAGGCATTACATGCACATAATCACAATTAGCACAAGATCTAAAATGCCATGGTTGGATTTGTGCAAGATGCAAAGGACGGGGCAGTTGTGGGAAGATCTGTCCTCTCCAGCAGGTCACCAGCAGGATTTTCATGGTGAGACTTCAAATGGCTTGTTGCCAGTGCTGAATCCTGTAGATACCTTTAAAAAATTCTCATGCACAATTGTCACCTTTCAAAATCAGTAATTTCATAATAAAAATCAATAAAAAGGGATAATAAATTAGTATTTTTAATATTATTATGATTGTTGTTGTTGTCATAACCTACAATCTCTTTTCATGACCTGATTTGTTATCCTGCTTTATCTAGCAAAATTCAGAATAGAGAACTTGAAATCATCCTGTGTGCACTTTCATTAATAATCACAAAGAAACACTTTCCAGTAGATGGAAATTATGGAACTTTTTTTCTTCTGGCAGGCAATAGATAGGAAAAACTTAACTGAGCCAAAGCAAAAATGTCAAATTATTGTTATCAGAATAATAAAAATGTTATGGAAACATGTTTTTTATTGATTTAAGATGAGGAATGGGATTTTTTGATTGCATTTTTGTTGTTGCTTTGGAAATTACAGTGTCAGGAAAGGATCTCCACATGAGTCCATGAACCTCCCCTTCTTCTTCTCCTACAAGTTTTAGCTTTTTCATTTGATACAGCTTAAAGAAAGCCCTCCAACACAACTTGGACAATTCATTGCCTGCAACTCTCTGAATTCATGGCTGTCAGTAACTGCTCTGGGAAGACTCCAGCTTGGCTTTAATCTACATGCCAATCGGTTTCCTTGGCCTCAGCACAAATTTAATTGGTTTCACTCTCAGGACAGAGCAACCTTTCCACTTGCAGCCCTGAAAATTCCTCCATCCTTCATACACAGTTTTGCATTCATATATTTTTGTGTCTTTGTTGAAACGAGTTACTTGTGTATGTGGCAAAACCAAAATTAGGACTACTCACTGCCAATCCTATGGATGAACACCTTTTCAGGATTCTTTAAGACCTCTAACTTCAAACACATTGTCTCATTCCTTCAGCAAATTTGCTTCTCTGCAGCATTCAAAGCTTCCTACAGCCATTCAAATTTCCACACTGATGTGAATAATTATGCAATCCTCTTTCCAAATTTGAGATAAATTCTGGAGAGCTCTATTTGGTCAATCCCAGCACAAATGTGGAATGAAAAAAAAGGGACAAGTTATGACCAGGGCTGTGTTTCATACTTTTCAATCACCAGCTCTAGAAAGGTTTTATGATACTGAATACAAAGCAATATTGTGTATTTTACAACATATTTTTCAGAAACAAAAGCAAATGAGCTCCCCCTTCCTCTAGCCCTTATTTCAGTGCATTAATATCTAATTTTTTCAAGATCTCTAGCTTGAAGTACAAATTTTGCTTTCCAAGTTGTCTGGTGTTCTCATTTATGAAGGATGGACTTGTATGTAAAGCCATTGTAGTGTGAAAAGATTATGTTGTGCACCTTAGAGTACACTCCTTCTGGGTTTTTATGATGACCATAAAACAGCAATTTGTCTAGTTATTCTATGAGTAAAATGCCACCACTTCTGCCTGTTTTGCAACATTAAGTGTAATTCAATACCCAAATTCATAGCAAAGTAACATTAGGTGTGCAACACCTTGACAGAAGTGATGAATTTGGGAGGATTCATAGAGAAAATCCCTTAGATTTATACTGAAATGTCATAAGTTTATCAACTTTGTTTGATCCTTAGTCAGAAAATAATTGTATTTACATATGGCTGGATTCATCCAGTAAGTTGGGAATGGTTCAATGCACTTGGCAAGAAGGGAAGCTTTTGGCAAAGAAAGATTGCATCTGCATTTGTAGATCTTATGGGGAAAAGTTGTGTCATCAGGACAATGTAAAATGACACATTTCAATGTTTCATTAACACCAATACAAACACGTGCAGAGAAAAGCTGCTATTTTTCAGTTTAGGCTTTTACACCTCCCTTTTTTTTTTTTTTTTTTTTTTTTTCCCCAGATAAGCCTGTGCTGATTCAAACACTTTAGTCATGTCTTAAATCCCTTTGCACAGTTGCACTTGGTCCCAAGTAACAGAGGAATGTTAATAAACACACACACAGGGCTGCTACTCAAGAGCTGACTGCTCACACACCCCTTAAAACAGATGATACTGAATATAATTGTTTCTTGTAGATCCTGCAGAAATTAAACACTACACGCCTAAAAGGGTCCAAGGCCAGGCTGGACGGGGCTTGCAGCACCCTGGGATAGTGGAAGGTGCCCCTACCCGGGTGTTCCCTGCAGGAACATTGGAACAAGATGACCTTTCCAATTCCAGAATTGGAATTCTGTGATTCCAATTTTTCTTTCCAGAGCAGTACCTTATTCACACAGACAACATTAAAATTTAAGGAGTGGGTTAAAATTCAAATTATGGAACCAAGGATATAAAAAAGCTTTTTAATGTAGAAGTCTCCAGTGCTCGTAACAAGGTCCTTTGCCAAGATGTCCCATGTGTGAACCACATGAGCAAGGAAAAACACGTGGGACAAGAGGCTGTGTCACATTAATTTTAAGTGTTTTTCCTGCTCCCTAGTGACATTTAAAAAAATAGCTTTAAATATAGCTTGGAGTAATTCTGAGGGTATCTACTGCAAAAACTTAAAATAAGAAAGGTAAAGGAATTTAGGAAATAGATGACATGATACAATCATTTAAGTGGAAAAGAGAATGGGAAATAATCACAGAGTTACAAGATCATCATACAAAAATCTATGGATATTCTCAAATGTTCTTATGAAAAAGATTTTCAATTCTTTTCTCCCTTCCTCCTCCTCCTTCCCATAAAACTTTACAATTCCTTTTCTAGAGATCCCCAGCAGTGACAATCCCACATTCTCTCAGGGAAATCCATTGCAGCACTTAAGCATTTCCATTAAGGAAAGAAAATATTTGTAGCAGGCAATTTGTTTTGATTATGTGATCCAACAGGTGAGTTTACCTTTTCTCAAAAAATCCTTCTCTAATGTAGACCAACAGCAGCATAGGACCCAAAAAAATTTCCATTTGAGTGAGATTTACTGATTTAATCTAATTTTAGGCTCAAAGTCACAATATTTCATTGCCTGCCTCTCCATGTTTTACACAGGGTGTGCATGTAGTGGGTACCACACACAACACAGCCAAGGAAGAAAAAGCTGAATATTAAGATAAGGAGGTTGAGCTAAATGATCCTAAGGTCCTTTCCAACCCAGGCCATTCTATGATTCTGTGTTCAAAATTAATACTAATTAATAGAAACAAAGTAGGTAATACCACAGGGCTTCCCTCACAATTACATTGAAAATCCAACGCTGGAACTCAGCCCATGAGGTGCTGGAGAATTTTTCACTTTTATTTGAGCAGCATGAACAAAGTGCTGGCCATTTCCCCACTCACCCAGAATGCACAAAACCTTACTGACTATAAATTCTTGCTTGCCACCCACACAGAGATCCCTCTCTGATTTCAGATGGATCAGCAGGGAGAGTCATCATTTGTGCTCAGTGTCAACAAATGAACCTTTTCATCTCTCCTGCAGTTGTGATTTCTCCTCCCAACAGCAAAGTCCTCCCCCAAACAGCCACTGATTATCTCCATGTCCTTCCCAGGAGGTGAGTGGGTTGATGGCTTCCCTTCTGCTTCCGTTTCTCCTCGCTGTGCTTTGCCTTGCAGGACCCTCAGCTGCTTTTCCCATCTTTCAAAGGGCCACCAAGAAATCTCCTTTGTGCCTTTTCCCCACACTGCCAGGAAACTGGGCTTCTGCCCTGCCCTCCTGCCCTCAGGGCTCATGGGATGCAAAAGAGGAAGGCTGATGGAGACATCTGGCAAAGATCTGCCCACCTAGCTGCTGCTCAAACAGCATTGGCTCAAGGTTACATAAAGTGTACTTAAAACAGGAACTTATTTCATTCAAACAGATTAATTCATGTTTCCCATGATTTAAAAAAAAAAAAAAAGAAGGAAGAAAGGGCAATAACTCAGTTTTACCCAGATTCAAGTGAAATTAAATGGTATTTTTGCTGTGATTTCAGAGTTACGCTTTCAGCATCTCAAGAACTGAATATCAGATCAAACTGTAAGGAAATAGAAAAAAAAAAAAGTGCTTCTATGGAGAGAGAGAGAAGGAGGGGTGTTCCTTTCTTGAAAAAAAGGACATCACACAGAAAACAGCACACATCCACTACGAAATGAGGCTGGAATCCAAATCCCATTATTTGCTATTTTTCAGACATAAATTTTGATTTCTCCTTCTCTCCAATGTGTTTTTTAGTGGATTTAGTGTTTATTCTTGAATTCTTGAGCTAATCACAACATGCTGAGTAGGTCATCCTTACGAAAATATATTGATAATAGAGCTAGAAGCCATTTTTTGGCATAAATACAGCAGCATTTCAAGTGATCCTGTAAGACTGGACTCAGTGTCACTCCTTATAAATTAAAATTCTTAAGATTTCCTCCAGCCCTTCACTCTGCATGCTCAGTATCTCAGCTTGGTGTTGCTTTATTCAGTACTCCAAAATGACCATAATGCAGGTGCTAGAACTTGTGGATATATTGTGGGACACTGTGGAGTGCAGACAAGAACTGCAGGTCCCTACCCTGATTAAGAGACCATAAACATCCCCAGCTGGGATGCACTAAAGACATAAACTGTCTTTTAAATGAGAGGATTTTTGATATAAATGAACACAATGAATCTGTTCTAGAAAAACTGAGGTAATTTCTGTACATTAAATGCTCAAAGGGATATCCTCTCCCTCTGGCAGACCTCCTGTTAAAGAAAAACTCATCCTAATTTCCCTTTTCAAAGTTTACTGTTATCTCTAAAACGTATTTTAAAGTTCATGCAAGATCATTGCAGAGCAGACACAGTTCCTGACATTTCCAGTGAAGGATGCTTCAGAACAGAGAAGGGACCATTACGTCTCTTTTTTTGGTACATGACAAAAAATTGGAAAAAATAAAAAACCTAAAAAATAAAGTCTCTCTTGGTTATGCAAGACTCTGCTTCTTGGCCAGCTTTGGATCATAATCCCTATTATTTCAAAATATTTTGTTGGAAATACTACTGGAATATTGCTAAACAAATGGCTGCACTATCTGACTGCAACTTCCCTGCTTCTGAGTGCAACCTTCTCCATCATATCAGGGACTAGATTTCATCAGAGTATTCACCAGTACTGCTATGAAAATCCTAAAAGGAGAAAAAGTCTAACTGTTAACAGAAAAAAAAGTACTAAATCAATCAGGTTTAAGGATTCTGCATTGTGTAGACAGTTCAATGAAATTTTCCACAAAGTCTTTTCTAATCTTAAGTGATTTTTCTTTCTGAATTTTGTTTAAAAGCTCAGTTTACAGTAACTTGTAGTTATTGTGAAACAAATCAAGATAGTGAAACAAAATCAAGGTTTAGTTCTGCTAAATTCTCTCTCCTGTGAGATCATCAGACAAAACTGTAGCAGAGATCAGTCTGTTAATCTGAAATTACAGGAAATTTCAAGTGTTTGCCATATAAAACCCAGTAAAGCACTTTCAATGCGATAACTCATGATGTTGGGACCACTTCAAAGAACAATCCTGATGAATAAAAATCCTTATCTAGTTTTGAACACAAATGCATTCGGGACACAGCATTGCTCTAACACTGCTGTCCACAGGCTTCAGTGAGAAAAAGGTTTGCCCTCCATTCAAGACAAGATTTATATAGGGTCCTTTGGCCAATCATAAATCTGTCTAAAGTGGTTGAAAAATATAAATTATAGAATGTACTATTACTTTTTAAACAGTCACTCTTTAACACTGAAAATCAAACATTTTTATTCTGTATATTCAAAATCAGAAAACGGCCATTTACCATCAGCCAAGCAAATGCTATTTGGCCATCAGAAGGGTCACTATCATCAAAGGCAGCGTTTTCTTGTGAGGAACCTTTGTCTTCCTTTACAAATTGCACATTTTTACCTGATTGCTTCCTCATGAACAACCGCAGTCAAGTTGGTTGCAAACAGCACAAATAACCCAGAAGGGAATCACAAGTCAGAGAAAAAAAGCAAACAAACATACAACTGAAAACAAAGTTGTTTCTTGCCTTGTTTTTTTCACTCTCAGAAGATGGAAGCATTGTGACACAAACACATACCATTGGCTTCTTCAGGTGCACAGAGCCTAACAGTAATTTAATCTAAGCCATATTTACTGTACAAAGGGTTTAAACTGAGTGCAGCATTAGGGATAAGATTTATCATGCCCACTTCAGGCTAAAATTTATCTCCTCAAATCACTGTTATCTAAGGACACTCTCCCACATTCTCAATGCACAAATTTGCTTTAAGGTGATTCGTGGAGCCCAAAGTGCCCTGGCACAGGTTACCCAGAGCAGCTGTGGCTGGTCTTGGATCTCTGAAAGTGTCCAAGGCCAGGTAGGACAGAGCATGAAGCAACCTGGGACAGTGGAAGGTGTCCTGCACATGGCAGGAGTGGCACTGGATGGTCTTGAAGAGCCTTCCAGCCCAGGCCATTCCATGAGCTAATGAATACAACGTATCATCTAAAAGCTGTTCATGTGTAAGTGTCCCCCACAGCCATGTTCACTGTGGACACAGCAAACTCTGAGTCTTCCTTCAGGAAATATCCATGCATGAGCAGCACACATCCAGATCTCCAACACAGCTGCTGCAGACAGTGCTGCTGTAACACAGAAGATGATCTTGGCTGTGCAAGAGGATTTTTCTTCTGTGCATAAGGACTGTATGTGCCTCAGTCTAAATATGCACGTAATACTCCTGATAAAGTCAGCGTGCTGGGCTCCCTTCCAAATGAGTTGTTTAAAACACACAGTATTGATGGATTGAGGATGCATGAACTGAGAACTATTTGGACTCCAACACATCTAAACATCTAATCATTTTTTGCTTGTAACAACATGTCTAAAGCAAAACTCTTTTGACATCACTGAGTGTGCATTCTAGAATGTGGCTGTGCAACAAAATCTGATAACAAAAGATGAAGACAGACCTGAAAAAAAAAAAAAAAAAAGGTTACCGCTGTTTCTGTTCTGAAATTGAAAAAATGTGTTCCAGAGAAAGGCATTCTGGCTGATGAGCCGGTGCACACTTCCAGTCCAAGAACAGTACTGAAACTGGAGCTAAACCACAATAAAGATTTTATAAGAAAGCAAACCCGCATGATTGTTGACGTGGACTTTGCAAAACATTAGAAGAAACAAACCTGCCATGAAAAGTTTTGCTGCCTCTTCAATCTCTTGCAAGCAAGAGTTGCAGGAGATTTGATGACTGATGT